AACATCTCATGACTTCGAGTTACTTACTTTTATTTTATTTATTTTCTTGAATTTAAAAACCTCTTTGAAACTCTTGACAGTCACTTGTCATTCATTTTTTTTCTTCTCACGTTTTCAAAAACCTTATTTTACCATGTAACTAATACTTATCTCTTTTTTCTTTTCTCTCTTTCAGATAATGTGACTTTATACAATTCATATCACTTCCTGTTTATATTTTATGATATTTTATGTATATATTATACCTGACATATCTTTCTTCTTTCCTCTTTTCAGGTCACGCAATCCACATCAATGGAATTTATTTAATKTTATGATATAAATGCGCACTATACACAAACAGTTTCAGTTTTGGTTATACGATGTACACCTTTAACCCTCCAAGGTCGTGCGCCTGCATAAGGTGGAGGACTACGTTTCCAGGGAGATTTTTCGGCCATTCCCAAATCTCTGGTTTTTCGTAGCTGGCAGCGCACTAAAAGTAACACTGAATTTCATGGAATAAATTTAGTAAAAGGGGATATGATTGGCTTTTTTACGAACTCTATCTAGTTTGTTTTTTTTTGGCACACATACTTGGATAAATAAAAAGCGAATTTATAAATATCTATTGCCTTGACTTGCGTGTTTAGTTTTTTGTTTTCATCATACTCGTCACTTTTGGGTTTTCAACCAATTCGAAGATGCTATAACTCAAGATTTTTTACCCTTGGTTTTTCCAACACAAGCTTTGACATTTTTGGTTTTTCAACAAATGCGTGGATATTTTTGGTTTTTCAACAATTCGAAGATGCTTTGCAAGTCCTCCCAAGATGTTTTGGTTCAAGATTTTTACTTTTGGTTTTTCAACACAAGCTTTTAATTTTTTTGGTTTTTCAACAAATGCGTGGATGATTTTGGTTTTTCAACAATTCGAAGACGCTTTGCAAGTCCTCCCAAAATGTTTTGGTTCAAGATTTTTATTTTGTGGTTTTTCAACACAAGCTTCGACTTTTTTTTCGTTTTTCAACAAATGCGTGAATATTTCAGTTTGGAGTTTTTTATGATTTCGAAGATGCTTTGCAAGTTCCAAGATGTTTGGTTCAAGATTTTTACTTTTGGATTTCAACAAACGCGTCTACTTTTTCTGGTAGTATTCAACAATTTCGAAGATGCTTTTCAAGNTGGTTCAAGATTTTTACTTTTGGATTTCAACAAACGCGTCTACTTTTTCTGGTAGTATTCAACAATTTCGAAGATGCTTTTCAAGTACCAAGATGCTGTTGGTTTTCAACCAGTCCTGAAGAATTTTACATTTTTCAACTTGAGCTGAAGTTGTTTATTTTTCTATGTGTGCCAAAGATTTTGAAATATTGTAAGTTTGTAAAAAAAAAAAGGTTTTATTTTTAAAATTTCAATTGGCATTGTATTTTGGCATTCCTGTCTCTAAACCCCACCCCAAACTCAGTAGTGTAACAGCGCATGCTCGGCTTACGAGCCAAGAGGACTGGGTGCGATTCCCAGCTGAGTTGGTGGAAAGTAGAGTTTGAAAAACGGGTACATTTTCAACAAGTTATAAGTTTTAACATTATTTTCCTTTCCAAAAAGGAAGTGGCAATTATCTAAATTGATTTCTTAGTCTTATGATTGATTTCACAACTRAATTTATACTCATTGCGAAAGATTACGAAATTTTAGAAAAATGTTTGAAAATAGGCCGATGYCTGAGCCTCTAAGAACTTAGTTGTTTCCATATTGATCTTAAGACTTATTTAGTACATTTTAAATTCAAGTCAATTTTTTAGAGTCTTTCTAAATAGAGCTTTTAAGATGTCACGCATTTACGGGTCCAGTTCCTCACAAAAACCACTAAAATAAACTGAACTGAGTATTCTCAACTTTGTGATTGACGTCACACTTAAAAGCAAAATGGTCTTGAATGCGCGGCTAAAAGAGAAAAACGAAAGAGAAAATGTGATTTATTTTGTATGTGTCCCCGCTATTCGAAGAGTTTTGAAAAGTGGTACTCACCCCCATATAAAAATCCAGGTTCCTTTGAACCCTCCCCTTACACGCCCATCTACACTCTAGTGCTTAGTCCCCTGATATTTTTCCGCGTWTGACGTCACACAAATACAGGGTCTTAGCTTCGTAGTACGGTTGTTTACACAAATGAAGCGAAAGTTTTGCTTTTTTAACCTCATATTCCTCACAATATTGGGCTATTTTATCACCAGATGTGATGCTAAWCCCCCTGTGGTCATAGGTGAGTTATCTTTGTTTAGAAATCAATGGTTTTTTGTTTGTTATTGCTGGTTCGATTTCCACGTGTTGTGAGCCGTTGTGTACGTGTTCTCTTGGGTATTTACGTGAATTTTCAATTGTTTAGCTATGTTTCCTTACACTTAGCTGTTAAAATCGTCTATAAACTAGATATTTTTAAGTATGATCTGTGTCTTTAGCGCAAAAATGTGCATTATTTTTCATTGTAGGGAGTTGAAAGCGGAAAACAAATGTCTGTATTGAAACTAGGATCCAAATCACATGCTTGTCTCTTCTAAGTTTACATGTTAAGATATCATTTACAAGCTCCCATTTTGAAAGCTTTTGAGTTTTTCTAATAAAAAGTTGGTGTACTTGTACATAAAAATCTTTAGTAATGCTTGTTCGTTCGTTCGACTTGTTATAATTATTTATATTAACTACTGTACCAAAACCCGTTTTTGAATAGTTTGTCATATTACGTTACAGTATTAAGCTTAAGGCACAACAGGATGCCCTGTCCTTCCATCGTCTCACCGGGGGTACCTTCTGAAACACGCTATTTTTCATATTTTCGAGAAAATCACGCAAAAATAAAATGAACTCGTATTTCTTCGGCTTTTGTTACGTAAGACTTTTAGTTGTAAGTAGGAAATGTTTTTCCTATCTAGTTTTAAAATTTAAAACTATATCAATATTTAATATTGATTAAGATTACTCTTTTTTCTTACTTTTTCGTTTTCTATATCCCTATTTTAATAATTGTAATGGCAGACTGATTGCAGTTTCGAAATAAAATAAATAAATAATAGATTTGGGCTTCAGGTCTAATTTATTGTTTGGGCTTCAGGTCTAATTGTTGAAATATAGTTTTTACTGACACAATAAAAAAATGTAAATGTTAAGCTTACGGTTTCCATATAAGTTTAAAAAAAAATTGACAATGTATTGTCCACTTCAGTGTCATTGACATCCCAACATACTTAGATATCTGCTTTTTTGAAGTATTTATTTTTTTTTACAATTTTATTGGGAAATAGCCATAACTAAGGTACATGTATTCATGAGATAAAGACAATTAAAAAGAAAACGAATGTGAATATCTACGCAAYAGGGTAGAACAAATGGGACTCTTAAGTCCCATGCTAAGCACTTCCCTTGAGGTCACAGATAAAATAAATTGAAATAAAAAAATAAATATACTATTATCTGTGGCACAGACAAATACACTGTACAATAAAATCCCTGGTCCCATTGCTTTACAGTCAAACCACCTCAAGTGTGAACTTGTAGAGGTCATTAATGACTTTATTTTTGGATTTTTGATTTCATTATTTGATTCAAAGATTCATTAATGAAAACGAATCTTCAATATTAAAAAATTAATAATTATTTGAAAATTCGATTAACTTGGCTTGTAGGCTCTTGTTTATAGCGCAAACAGATGGTAAGTCATTATAATATTACATATTCCTTGCACAAAAAGGTAGTTTGACTGTAAATCTGGACCCTGTCGTGGAGTGTTAAGTATTTTAATTTACRAGCCTAATTTTGTGTAAGTTGCCTTGTAGCTCTCATTGCCTCCACTAATAATTTTGACAGCTTTCATCACATCTTAGAGACATACTATTATTACATGTAACTAAAGTGTTGAATCATTAATAATTCTTATTGACACTTTTGCAAATTCATGTCTAGTTCCTGGTGATGGAGGAAGCCGGCTTGAAGCTCGTCTTAACAAAAAGACAGCTCCACATGTTTGGTGTGAAAAGCATAGCAAAGATTTTTTTGGGATATGGTTAAGTATAGAGGAACTGTTGCCAGGGGTTGTTGACTGCTGGAGTGATAACATGAGGTGATGCAAAAAAATATTCAAACAATTTGCTAATTTAATACACCGAATTGAAATCCGGGGGGGGGGGGGTACTCTTGCCTGTTTAGGGTAGGGATGTGCCGCTGAGCCCTTTGAACCCTGACCCTGTTCCAGAGTAAAATCGCTGAAAACCATACCCTGTTTGGTGGCACSTACCTGTATAGCRAATATAGGGGAGTACCCCCTCCCGGGATCGAAATATGGTGACCATATTTGAATAACTATTGTTCTGCACTGACTATAACCTCTTGTACATGTGAAAATGCTTTTATGTAATTTCCATGTTGCTTGTCAGTACAGAACAATAGTTATTTAAATTGGTAGCCATATTTCCATTCGGTTTATTATAATTTTTTGTCATTTTAATTAATAGAAAGTGTCAGCTTATGGAAATACTGTTTGCAAATATTTTCCTTCTGAAAAGAAGTCAATTTATTGTTTTGTTTTCCAATTTCACATTCACTCGTTACTRTTTCTTTGTTTGATGTATACATTTGCACTAGTTTTCTTTGAAGTGCAACCCACTTTGTCACTGGAGGTGATTATTTAATAGATAATTACTGAGGCACGCAGCATTTGTAGGTATAATGTTAATAATATATATAATGCTAATGGTATATACGCCCTCAGCTGCCTGCATTATACCTACGAATGCTGTGTGCCGAAGTGATTATCTAGTATAATTATTGTTCTTATCAAAATCCAATTGTTTTCTTTCTAGTTTGTTTATCATAGAAACAAAGCCAATAATGAATGTCTGATTTTCCTCTATGCATTCGTGGGGATAATGCAGACTGAAAACAATGGATTTTGATAAGATCAGTAATTATTGTGTGATAGTGTGAGTTTCTCAACCAATCAGCGYGCAAGATTTTCAATAATCACCTGTTTATTTTTACTAAAAATCCATTCAGTGACCACAAATAATAGTTCCAAGTGAAGGTTGGTGTTTCTGTGTATAGTGAAACTTTTACTTTTTATCATGCTCAGAAACTCCAATCTTGGCTTGGAACTATTATTTGTGGTCACTGGACAGAAAAGTATTCTTCTGGAAAAATGAAGAAAATATGAAATGTGTAGTTCCAGAAATCATCCGTACCCACCGCACAGAGGAATTCGGAATTTCCGAAGAGTAGGGGGGTCAGAGAAAGAACAAAAATACAGAGTTTTTATGGAAGAAAATTGGAATTTCCAGGGGTTAGGGGGGTGTCTTAGAAAAATTCCTCYGTGAGGRGGGTATGGATAATTTTTGGAACTACACAATAAATAGAAAGTACATAATTAAAGTGCATTTATAGGGAGCATAAACCACTAAAGTTATTATTTTAATGCCAGGCTGGTGTATAACACAACGAGCAAACAATTAACAAACCCTGAAGGTGTGGAGATTCGCGTTCCATATTTTGGAACCACAGAAGGCATAGAATATTTGGACTCATCAATTGACCATCCTGGGGAGTACTTTGCGGCATTTGTAGAAGCCCTAGTTAAAATTGGTTATGTTAGAGGGAAAAGTGTACGCGCAGCACCATATGATTTCAGGCATGCACCAAGTAAGTGTTGGTACATCATTGGTTGGTACATCATTACATCACTCAGTTGGTTTAATATATTCAGAAACTATATCATATTCTATTCACCATTCTCATAATGGCTGACGAGCATACGCAAATAAGGCTGCTCTTTCGAAAAAGGTGGACAGCRTGAATTCAGGTCAAAACAATACTAAGGTCAATCTCTATACTTTTCTTCTTTAAACATGTTGCATGTGCTTTTATATTTTTTATTGTGAACTAATGACTGGGTGACGTCGCATTTGTGCACTTGTCAGCCATTATAAGAGTGATGTATTGTCCTTCTATCTATTGTGTTAAGTGTGATTCATTGTATTTTTATGCATACATTACATCAACTGCTTGGTATGTAGGCTCTCCCATCATTGCAATCGCTGAACATTGTGGGTTATGAATAAATAGCCCAATAGCCCTTAATGCAGTTGAGCCCACAGCCCAGCGAAATCCTAAATGAGTGTATATTGAAGTGAGACTATCTGGTTGAGCTCATGATGAATAAATAAAAAATATAAAAACTATGTTTCATTGTAAGGATAGTTAATCGTGGTACATGTTTGGAAGTCTGTGTATCTTGTGTAGTTTTGCTTGAAACTTATCGCGAGCGTGACCAAATTGCCACAGAATCACTGGATCGTGGGCTTAACTGCGATAAGGGCTATTAATGGTCCACTTCTACAATACAGCGGCCATCTTGCCAGGGGGCAAAACAAAATTAAGGTGACAGAAAATATGTAGAGTTTCGTGTGTTTGTCTTTCTTTTATGGGTAAAGGTGATCGATGTGCCGTCTTAATTCATTTTCTGTTTTATTCTCTTGTGGCGAGCTGTTGATATCACTAATCAACGTCATTACTGTAACAAGGCTTAATTTGCCCACTGGACGCTACATAATGCCTTGCAATTCAAGATGGTCATCGCATCCTTGAAGTAGTCCATTTTCCCTGCCTCTAATGGGCTGTAAACGTATTAGTCATCAAATCTGCACATACTTGATAAATATATACAGTCAATGTCATTAACCTTGTCCACCGAAAAAAGACATTTAGACATTTAGACTAAAAGAAATATCACGTGTTTCCTCGAATGTTATGGCATAAAACAAACGCTGCAATACCATTCTCCATCTTAAATCCTCACTTAATGGTCGGGGCATTCTGGATTTTAAATTCACGGGTTGAATTTTAAAATATTTCAAAGTTCAGGCTGACGCACACGAGGCAAAGAATACATAATGAAACATGTGATATTTCTTTTAGTCTAAATGTGTAAATGCGTAAATGTGTAAATGTTTTTTTTCGGTGGACAAGGTAAATGACATTGACTGTATATCGAGCAGGTATTCTGTTTTTCACTTTGATCTATTCCATTATCCTACCACAGATACAAACAAGGATTATTTAAATARTCTGCAACACCTTATTGAGCAGACTGCCATGCAAAACAATGGTGATCGTGTGGTTCTGATCTCACATAGTCTTGGATGCCCATATACCAAGTACTTCCTGGACCACATTGGCCAGACATGGAAGGACAAATATCTTCATTCCTGGATAACTATTGCTGGAGCTTGGGGTGGGGCTGCCAAACTTTTCCGTGTTATTTCATCTGGAACAGATCTTGGTGTTCCGAAATATGTGTTAAAACCAATAAARCTGAGAGCTTCAACCCGAACGTATGGATCATCGGCTTTTCTTTTACCAAGTGAGAAGTTTTGGAAAGTYGATGAGGTAGAGTACTGAATCTTTTGTATTTATCAGAGCATATAGTCATATTCCTTTTTGGGTTCCAAATTACAGTTCCTTGATTACAGACTCACTTACTCAGGGTTAGCCTTGTATCAGTGTMTAAATACACAGTAAAGTAAAGAATGTACAACTTCAATAATATAGGCTTTGCACCATCACATGATGGCAGCCATGACAGGAGGCATGACAATAGAGTCTTTTTCCCCTTGAAAAAACTCAATTCTTTCTCATGTAAATCACATTAGTCCAGATTCAATTGTTCCTGCCTCCTGTCATGGCTGCCATCACGTGATGCTGCAAAACCTCTATACAAACAATTTGAAATTCCACGGACCTTCAATGGAACACATGAATATTCTGCACAAAGTCRAGGCTAACCCTGAGCAACAGAGAACTTGAAACTTGTTCATTCAAAAAAACACTGTCGTTGAAGGGCTTCAGCCTATGCTACTGGACCATATGGGAGTATGTGTAGAAATAACTGATTCTGTCGACTTCATCTATAACACATGAATATTCTGCACAATATTGAAGCTAACCCTGCAAAATGAATCTGTAGCCAAGGAACACAGCGGTATTTTACGAATTCAAAAAAGGTTTATTCTTGGACTTGGCATCATATGTGACTAGAGTTTGTTTTCATCAGCCCAGTGGTTGTTTCAGGGTTCATTCTGTGAGTTAGCCATGCCCTGACTTAGATCAGCCCAGAGGTTGTTTCAGGGTTCTATCTGTGAGTTAGCCATGCCCTGACTTAGATCAGCCCAGTGGTTGTTTTAGGGTTCATTCTGTGAGCTACCCGTGCCCTGACTTTGATCAGTGCAGAGGTTGTTTCAGGGTTCTATCTGTGAGTTAGCCGTGCCCTGATTTTGATCAGCCCAGAGGTTGTTTCAGGGTTCAATCTGTGAGTTAGCCATGCCCTGACTTCGATCAGCCCAGAGGTTGTTTCAGGGTTCAATCTGTGAGTTAGCCATGCCCTGACTTTGATCAGCACATAGGTTGTTTCAGGGTTTGATAAAAAGTTTGTGGCCTCATTAACAATGTATTATATAATCATTTTTTCCCTTTTACCAGCCTGTAGTCCATACCCCATCAAAGAACTACTCCCTTTCAAACCTGGACCAGTTTTACAAAGACCTGCAGTTTGAAGTTGGCCAAGACATAAGGAATCTTGTCCCACCAGTTTGGTCCGACCACCCACCAAATATAACCCTACACTGTCTCTATGGAACCAAAGTGCCAACTCCCGAAAGATTCTATTTTGGACCTGGTGAATTTCCTGATACGTTTCCTAAAACCATTATGGGGGATGGTGACGGGACCGTCAACAGGCAAAGCCTGGAAGGATGTAAGCAGTACATTASGACTCAGTACCAGAAAGTGACCGTTCAGGAGTTCCCTGCGGCAGAGCATATGAGAATAATCGGAGATAAGCGGTTGATTGATTATGTTGTTAAGTTATTGGAAAGTATTGACTGATATTTGTATAAGAAGATTTTTTATGATTTGAAGAAATTTTAAGAGAAATTTAATCACGAGATTTTTATAATTAAAGACATCTTTTACAAGCAACAATTGTAGTGTGATGCACTTTGATATACTTCTTTGCTGATGTCCCAGGGGGATATTTTTGTGCAAAAAAAGGCCGGGATGATTGTTGAAAGATATGACAATTCCCTGGACTTTTTGATCACAGCAAAATTTTAAAAATTAAAATTGAAAGCTTTTTATATGCTAGATGAATGAGATAATGGTAGCTAGTTTGGGATTATTTGGAACTTTTTCTTTTACACATATTGTATTTACAGCTTTTGCTATATTGTTATGTATGTAATGACCAATACTCCCATTTCGAGTTCGCCATTGCTCAGTCTTAGCCTCGATTGTGTACAAATGTGTTCTTTTTGTTCATTAAGGTCCATTGTATAGTAAGGAATGTATTAAAATGATTAAAATGACATCTGTTTTGGTCGAATAGCGGAATACCTATAACACACAACGGTCAGAGCAAAGATAACTCAAAACTGGACTATTTTAACAATGTGTAGTTCCACAAAAACTATCAATACCTCCCACAGATAATTTTTTAGACCCCCTACCTCCAGGGGGGAGGGGGGTATGGATAATTTCTGGTACTACTACACAATAAGAATTAAATGTTAAAAAGATTTTGAATTGAGATAAATTCTAGTTTCATGCAAGTTAGTCAGTTTATTATTGTGCAATAATGTTCACTGTATAGATATGSCAAATAAGTGTCTGTTTATGATTTCTGGCTTGGGGGGTGCTAGGTGGATTTTGAGGGGACCAAAAACATTTTCTATAAACCGGCCACCAAATAAGGTGGGTCATTTTATATTTATATCCATCGTTCATTGATGTTACACAATTCTGGGGGTCACAAAGCCCACAAATAAAATGTGTGAGAATGGAGGGGGGGCTAAAAGTAGGTGTTACTTTAATACTCAAATTCCACATAGCCTCCTAACCAATAAATTATGAATAGTGCCTTAAATAAGTGTGCAGGCGGCATAATAAGATTGATGTTAATTTTTATAAAACGGTCAATTATTTTGTTATGCAATTAATAAAATTAATAAGTATTTTAAAATGACCTCCTGTCATTCTTTAAACATTTTTTGTTTGGTTTAAATGTTCCGGGGAGGTGGGTACTCTCTATGTACCCTGTTTCAGGGTGGAATCGCTAAAAACCATACCCTGATTGTTGGCACATACCTGTATAGCAAATGTAGGGGAGTGTAACCCAATACCCCCCTTCCTGGAGAAATGTTTTCCTATTGCAGTGAACACGGGTCATAAATAGTTATAAGGAGCCAATTAAATATGTTGTCGTTGTCGTGAGTCATTCCCTCAAGTGTTCCCTTGATCTAGTGTTAACAGTGCCTTGACTTTGATCAGCCCAGAGGCTGTTGTTCAGGGTATTGGTAAAAATTCAAAGATTAATAATATGCAAGGGAGTCTCAAAAAATTGTTTACAGATGTAAAATGGAAAAAAATAATTACGAACAATGAATTTTCTCTTTGGGGTACCGCAAGTGAAACTCTTGGACCCTTTAGCGCGCAGCATGATGGGTAGCAGTTTTGGATACGAGACACTAAATATATTTCCCATGAAGTATTAGCTTGCAAATGGCCGCGCGACTCGTGAAGAAGTCAGGCGTTTTGACACGAAAAAAACGACCAAAAGAACCTCTAAAACCAAATGAATACTTCAGTTTTTCCTAGATGCGAGTTCAAATATCATATAGTTTCAATATTTTGGAATTATATTTGAATTCGAGTTGAAGTGAGGTCGAGAATTGTCGTTGATCGAGCTCTTTTGAAGTGGTTTTTGCAGCTCTCTGTGCCTGTAAGTCCCTATTTATCGACTTCACTCGATGGAAATATGAGATAAAAAATGTCTTGGAGCGCATTTGAAGAGTTAAAGGTAAGAATAAATAGCATATTCTCCTTTGAATTCAATTTTTTTTTTGTAATTTTGAACTGGTGAATTGTTGACCTTGTTTGGATACTCTTCACTACTGAGCCTCGAAGACAACTCTTTTAAAGTTTTTAAAAATCGACTTTTGCTATATTGCTAAGTTATGTGGCTCACTTACACTAATATTCATTTGAATAAGTCTTTCAACTTTTCTAATGCTAGCAAAATTAATTTATATCGTAGGTTTAATCTTACAGATTTAATATCAGTTTTTGGGCTTCCTGTGGTTTTGTAAAAATTCCCAAAGTTTGATAAAGTACAGAGATTTGTAGAAGAATGGTGCAAAAAATTTTTTTTAAAAAGTAATGAAAGGCCAGCTTGTCAATGTCTCTATGCTGTGATAAAAACTCTGGGAGTATTTTTGTTATTATAACTCTTGATTCAATACTCCAGTTAGAATAGTCCCCTTCGCAGTTCCCTGCGCCATCTTGAAAGGTAGCCGTGCCTTTGCATCAAAGTGAGATGAACGGTGAGCTTGCAATGATAGAGACCTTTTTTTAACACCTTGGACAATTTTTCACATGTCTCTATCATTGAAAGCTCATGCACTGTTTGTCTCGCTTCGATGCAAAGGCATGGCTACCTTTCAAGATGGCGCAGGGAACTGCGAAGGGGACTATTCTCTGCTCTACAGGGTTAGCCTGTGTCCAGGATATTCATTTCTAGTGAATGTCCGTAAAATTTCAAAGTGTTTGTACTGTTGAAGTTGTGCATTCTTCACTTTACCGTTGGTATTTGTGAATATTTAGACACTGATATGAGGCTAGACCTGAGTACATGAACCAGTGATCAAGGAACACAGCAGTTTTTGACTAATTCTAAAATGGTCTATCCTCAGACCAGGCATTATGTGCTAGTAGAGTTGATTGTCAGTTCTCTCCTTGTTCTCAGTTTTTCCACCCTCCCCCCTCCAGAAATTGACTTCTAAATTCTAATTGGAATCCATTTTAAGAAGCAACAGACTATTAAAACAGACCTGCATTTGCTGTCCCATTCCTTTCTTATGGTAGTTGAAGCACTGTTGATTCCCATTGATTTCTTATTTCATTTTACCAAAACAAAAAATGAAAAATTTTGTTGTTGTCTTTAATGCTGTTTTCTTACATGTACTTGCAAATTTAGCTGCATGTGCATAGCTTGCACCAGCAACTTTGCATGGTCTGTTTACTAATATAGCACAGTTCTTGACCAGTCAGATTGTACATGTGCTATCTAAACTATATACATGTAATAAACAAGAGTGAAAGATACTACAGTATATTATTTCCATGGATATCTCATATGCTTATTTTCTGATGCTGTATCCCCTAATTTAGTAACTTAATATATTTATATGATGGCTAGTAAACACTAGCATGGACTGCGTCGGTGTTTCTAATGAAACAGTTATCGTAGATTGATAAGTTTTACACCGTAGTGAAAATAGGAACTGACGTTTCGGACGTTAGTCCTTTGTTGGAGTCAATGTTGACTCTGACGAAGGACTACGTCCGAAACGTCAGTTCCTATTTTCACTACGGTGTAAAACTTATCAATCTAYGATAACTGTTTAATATATTTATATTTATATTTGTTTTTTAGAGCTTTGCATCTTCAATTTATGGTTCCAAAAAGAAGAGGAAGAAAGGTATGATGTCACATGGTCAATCACTGGACATGTTGTCCAACCAAATTAGTTTAAGCTAACCTCATTTCTTGTTAGTCAAAATGACCGGCAAGGCAAAGATTTTATTTTATATTCTGGCAGTACATTGTCTGATGACCAGCCGTTATTTTAAAGTGCACATAAACAATACTTTCAGTACTGGTTCTGCATAAAGTAAATAGTTGAATGGTAAAATATTTCTTGATTTGAGTGATGCGT